TAACCTTTAGTTCTAATTTGATTGCACCATTGTCTGAGAGAGTGTTTGTTATAATTTCAGTTTTCATTTGCTGAGGAGTGTATTGCTTCCAATTATGTGATCAATTTTAGATTAAGTGCCATGTAGTGCTGAGAAGAATGTATATTCTGTTGTTTTGGGTTAGAGAGTTCTGTAGATATCTATCAGTCCACTTGATCCACAGCTGAGTTCAGGGACTGAATATCTTTGTTAATGTTCTGTCTTGATGATCTTATATTGCAAATGAGGTCTCCCACTATTACTGTGTGGGAGTCTCACTCGTAGATCTCTTAAGAACTTCGTTTATGAATCTGATTTCTCCCGTACTGGGTTTTTATGTTTAGAACAGTTAGCTCTTCTTCCTGAATTGAACCCTTTACCATTATATAACACCCTGGTTTTTTTTTTTTTTAATTTGTTGGTTTAAAGTCTGTTTTGTCAGAAACTAGGATTACAGCCCCTGCTTTTTTCTGTTTTCTATTTTCTTGGTAAATTTTCCTCCATGCCTTTATTTTGAGCCTGTGTGTGTCCTTACACATGAGATGCATCTCTTGAATACAGTACACCAACAGATCTTGACTCTATTTATCCTGCCATTCTGTGTCTTTTATTAGGGCATTTAGTCCATTTATATTTAAGGTTAATATTGTTATGCATAAATTTGATCCTGTCATCATGATGCTAGCTGGCTATTTTGCAGACTCGTTTATGTAGTTGCTTCATAATGTCATTGGCCTGTGAACTTCAGAGTGTTGTTGTAGTGGCTGGTAACAGTTTTTCCTTTCCACACTTAGTATCTCCTTCAGGAACTCTGGTAAGGCAGGCCTGGTGGTAATGAATTACCTCAGCATTTGCTTGTCTGTAAAGGATTTTATTTCTCCTTCACATATGAAACTTAATTTGGCCAAATATGAAATTCTGGGTTGAAAACTCTTTTATTTCACAATGTTGAATATCGGCCCCCAATCTCTTCTAGCTTGTAGGGTTTCTGCTGAGAGGTCCACAGTTTGTCTGATGGGCTTCCCTTTGTAGGTGACCTGGCCTTTCTCTTTGACAGCACTTAACATGTTTTTCTTTCATTTTGACCTTGGATAATCTGATGATTATGTGTCTTTGGGTTGACTTCATGGAGTATCTTACTGGAGTTCTCTGTATTTCCTGAATTTGAATGTCAGTCTGTCTTATTAGGTTGGGGAAGTTCTCCTGGATGATAGCCTGCAGTATGTTTTCCAACTTCGTTCCATTCTCCCCATCTCTTTCAGGTATTCCAGTCAGTCATAGGTTTAGTCTTTTTACATAATCCCACATTTTTCAGAGGTTTTGTTCATTCCTTTCCATTTTTTTTTCTCTAATCATGTCTGCCTGTCTTATTTCAGCAAGATATTCTTCAACTCTGAGATTCTTTCCTGCACTTGGTTTATTTGGCTATTGACACTTAGGATAGCACCATGAAGTTCGCATGTTGTGGTTTTCAGCTCCATCAAGTCATTTATGTTTCTCTTTAAACTTGTTATTCTGGTTAGCAGCTCCTATGTTTTATCATGGTTCTTAGCTTCTTTGCATTGGGTTAGAACATGCTCCTTTAGCTCAGTGAAGTTCGTTATTGCCTACCTTCTGAAGCCTACTTCTGTCAATTCATCCAAATCTCAGCTTCAGCCCAGTTTTGTACCCTTGCTGAAGAGGTGCTGCAATCATTTGGAGAAGAAACACTCTGGATTTTTGAGTTTTCAGCATTTTTCCATTGATTCTTTCTCATTGTTGTGGGCTTATCTTCCTTTGATTGTAGAGGCTGCTGACCTTTGGATGGGGTTTTTTTGTGGAGTGTTTCTTATTGATGTTGGTGGTGTTTGCTTTTTTCTTAACATCAGAACCCTCTTCTGTAGGGCTGCTGCAGTTTTCTGGGGTTCCACACTATTTTTGCCTAGGTTCTTCCCCAACCATCTATCACAAGTGGAAGCTGCAAAACAGCAAAGATAGCAGCCTGCTCCTTCCTCTAGGAGCTCTGTCCCAGAGGGGCACCTACCTGACGCCAGCTAGAACGCTCCTATATGAGGTGTCTGGTGACCCTTCTCGGGAGGTCTTACCCAGACCAAAGGAACAAGATCAGGGACCTGCTTAAAGAACAGTCTGGCTGCCCCTTGACAGAGCAGGTGTGCTAAACTGGGATGTATCCCCCTTGTCCAGACTGTCCAGACTCTCCAGAGCCAGCTGCCAGGAAAGACTAAATAGGGTGTACTACAGAGACTGCTGCTGCCTCTCCCCACAAGGGGCTCTATCCTAGGAAGACCAGAGTTCTGTCCATAAACCCTTGGCTGGAATTTCTGAAACTCCCATGGGGTGGTCCTGCCCAGTGATGAGGGATGAATCAGGGTCCCACTAAAAGAAGCAGTCTGGCTACAATCTGCCACACCCACTGTGTAGCAGTGTGGGAAATTCCTCCCAGTACAAAACACTCAGTTTCTTTGGCACTAATAGAGTCTTCTACTGCCAACTGGAGCTGCAGAGATGGCACCTACCCCTTCCCCCATAAATTCAGTCATGTTAGGTAGTCTCCAGCCTGCTGCTGCTGGCCAGCAGGGATTCCAAGCCAGTGGGTCTTAGTTAGTGAGGTCCCATGGGAGTGAGGCTCACTGAATAATGCTGCTTGGCTCTCTGGCTTCAGCCCCATTCCTACAGGAAGGGACAATATGCCTCATCAGAATTCCCAGGGCTGGGGTATGCAAAACAACTCCTGTGTCTAAGTGCCTTCCCAAGTGGCTGCATGCCTTAGTGGCTGCCAACCTAAGTGGTCTCTGAGAGCCTGCACACCTCTGTGCTTGGGATCCAAGACCCTGGTGGTATGGGCTCAAGAGGGAATCTCCTGATCCATGAGTTGCAAAGATCCATGGGAAAAGTGTAGTTTCCTAGTCAGGGCAACATACACTCATTCATTGCCTCCTTTGGTTGGGGGAGGGAGCTCTTCCTGCCCTATGCCACTGCCAGGTGGGCCATTATCACCCTCCTGCTTTTCCTCACTTTCTGTAGGTTGCACCAACCTTGCACCAACTGCCCAGTCAGTCCCAGTGAGAGAACCTGGATACCTTATTTGAACGTGAATTCACTTGCCATTTTCATTCTTCTCAGTGAGAGCCACAGAACACAGCTGATTCTAATCAGCCATCTTTGGCTAGTGTTCTGAGAATGTCTTGTTATTAGAACACATACAATGAACTACTTAGGGGTAAAGAGGCATCATGTCCAAAATGTACTCTTAAATGATTTAATAAAAACAATAATATAAATATATGGGGAGAAAAAATGATACAACAAATGTGATAAAATGTTAACACCTGCAGGATCTGAGTGAATTATTATTATTATAAGGTTAGAATTATTATTATTCTTTTTTTCTTTTTTCTTTTTTTTTTTTCCTTTCATACCAGTGATCTCTGTACTTTAGAAAGAATTATTATTATTATTGTAAGATTTTATTTAAGTCTGAAACTATTTTGAAATATTAAATTATTTTTTAAAAATAAACATCTAACTGCAAACAATGAATGAATTAGATCTAATATGGTCATATGGTTAAATCTGGAAAATATAACAGTAAGCAAAAACCCAAGAAACATACACCAGATAATATTTATTTAAATGTTAAAATCATTTAAAAAATTATTCATATATGAATATGTAATGAAGGTTTAATGTATATCATGGAAAAAGGAGAGTAATAAAGACAGGAGAATAGGGTAAACATTGTAATAATACATTTCTTTTAAAATAAATCTAATTTCAATGTGATGAAATTTTAACATGTGTTTTATCTGTGTGATGGTTACATAGGTATCTACTATTATTTTCATACTATCTATGTGTTTGATATATGTTATAATTAAAAGATTTTAAGAAAAAAGATGTTAATGGTTCAAAGGATCTAAAACCCCCAAAACTTCCCACTGTACCTACTTCCACAAACCAAATGGTTTTTGAAGGTGCTTAAGTCTAAGCCCAAAGATGGAGTCATATACCAACAAGTAACTATAGATATTGGGAATAAAGGTCAAGATAAATACTGAGAATGCCTTTTCTTTGCCCAAGATGTCTCTTCAGCCTTTCCTTAAATCTATGCTTACTTTTAGAATTTTCCTCACTAGAATTATTTCTTCTATATCTCATTGAAGTATAAAAATACCATTGGTTCAAAGTACTATGATTTCTGTTTTATAATTGAATAAAACCAGACATACCATCTATATTCATATGTATTCATGGATAACACATACATTTCAATTGTCTGAATGAAATCTTGACAACTCCAATCAGGTCTGAAATTGAAACTCTGGATGAGATGAATTAGCTATATTATAATTGATATTTCAGTCAGAGAAAAGCACCTTATCATTTTTTTAAAAATAATTTCTGGAATAAATGACGTTTACATTCTCAGATTCAAATTCTTTTAAAAACAAAATGTTATTTTTTATTTTCAAATTCAGAAAAAGATTATCTATGTATTACTTATGATTATACATTGTGGCAGAGACTCCTAGGAATTTACACCCATTTCTTCTTCTTCTGAGATACACAGACTATATTTTTCAGCCTCCTTGGCAGTTAAGTATGGCCATGTGACTGGCTATAACTCCAAGCCTGGCCTACAAAAACTTCCAACACATAATTCCCCATCCTCTTCTGCCAGCTGGATAGGGATGACAACAAATCCCTAGAGGATGACAGAAACACAAATGGAATAATCCTGTGTCCCTGAATCCCTATATGAAGGAAAGTCACTTAACAAGAAATATCACATGAATAAGGAAAACAAATTCTACTATATTAAGCCACTAAAATTGGGGAGCCTATCTGTTACCACAATTCGTGTTACATTAACCAAAACATGTAATCACTTTCTTTTGGAGAAATAAGCCAGAAAAAAAAGAAATCCACATATAAATCATAAACAATTTTCCAATTGTCAATATGAAATGCATTATACTTACAAATTGAGGTTTGTAATATGCTGGACCAAGTGTATTGTCACTAGCAGGTGGAAGACGTTTTATAATACTGCCATCATCATTAATATGATAACCATATGACTTTCCACAAGAAGGAATTGAAGGAGCATCAACATTTCTGGTAAGTGTAGGTGCGCTTGAAATTTTCTACAAGGAAACATTTTATATTATTTATTTAAAGGCCAGAAGAAGGGGAATGAAGAACCAAATATTAAACTTCACTAAAAGGCAACTATTAAATGTTGATTTAATGAGTTTCATAATATAAAACAAAAATGTTTGTTTTGTTACTAGATTTTTGAGAGAGGGTCTCACTCTGTCACCCAGGCTGGAGTACAGTGGTACAATCTCCGCTCACTGCAACCTCTGTCTCCAGGGTTCAAGCAATTCTGCCCCCGACCTCAGCCTCTCAAGTAGCTGGGACTACAAGGCATTTGCCACCATGCCTGGCTAATTTTTGTATTTTCAGTAGAGACAGGGTTTCACCATGTTGGCCAGGCTGGTCTCGAACTGTTGGTCTCAAATGATCTGCCAGCCTCAGCCTCCCAAATTGCTGGGATTATAGACATGAGCCACTGTGCCCAGCCAAAAATGTTTGTTTTGTAAAAGTAATTTAAAGAAGTAAATTGAAGTCTGTCTTGTTTCATCCTATAAACCAAAAGAATACACTACTATTAAATTAAGAATAGAATAGAATAGAATAGAATAGAATAGAATAGAATAGAATAGATAACTATTAAAGTCATCAAAAGAAGCAAGGATTCTCTCTCATTTGGATCAGTTATTTATCTTGCTTAGCAAAGCCATCATTACTGATTCTAAAAACAGGCAATCCTATTCACATCAACAATTATGCTATTATACTATCTGCTATGCAAAAACAAACTTTAGATTTTTCAGTAACACTTTCTGGCTTCATTTCTTTCCAGTTCCTGACTTTTGTTTCCATGTTTCCTGAGTCTTGTATAAATATCCTAAGTATGCAAGCTATATAGCAGGAAAGTGTCTATGATGTAATGCTAAATGGAAATAGCAAAATATAAAAGTGAATTATGAATATAGCTAATTTATGTGAAATTATATATAAATGTATAAAGTCACCTACATGTATAATTTAATACCAGAAAAAGCTATGTAAAAATTCACCAACATGGTGAAACCCCATCTATAAATTAATGTTAGAATCAGAAGTTTTAGGGTGATTATCCTTTTATCAAAATTTGCTTTAATGTAAAATATTTTAAAAACCTCAATAAAAACAGGAAGGTGTAACATATATTACAAATATTAATATAAAATATATCAAATAAAAGTATTGGCATTTAAAGGATTTAGTTATTGGGCAACTGAAATTATTAAGAATATAATGACTCCTGTAGTTTCTGTATGAATAAATTAATGCTACAGTTGCATGTTCACATGCCCATATACAATTATGTTAGAAACATACTATCACTGGCAGAATTTTCCTTTTTTTTTTTTTTTCTGGAGTGCAGTGGCATGATCTCGGCTCACTGCAACCTCTGCCTCAGAGGTTCAAGCAATTCTCCTACCTCAGTCTCTAGACTAGCTGTGATTACAGGCACACACCACCACACCTGGCTAATTTTTTTTGGTATTTTTTGTAGAGATGGGGTTTCACCATGTTGGCCAAGCTAGCCTCAAACTCCTGAACTCAGGTGATCCCTGAGGCCTCCCAAAGTGCTGAGATTACAGGTATGAGCCACTGTGGCCATTTTTCTTTTTTATTAAAATTTTTTTGGGGGCAGGAGGCAGAGTCTCACTATGTTCCCCAGGCTGGAGTACAGTAGCATGATCTTGGCTCACTGCAACCTCTGCCTCCCATGTTCAAGTGATTCTCATGCCCCAGCCTCCCAAGTAGCTGCAATTACAGGAGTATGCCACCCGGCCTGGCTAATCTTTGTATTTTTTTAAGTAGAGACAGGGTTTCATCATGTTGGCCAGGCTGGTCTCAAACTCCTGGCCTCAAGTGATGTGCCTGCCCTGGCCTCCCAAAGTGCTGAGATTACAGGTGTAAGCCACCACACCCAGCCAGAATTTTATTTTTTATCAATTAAAGACAATCATTAAGTAGTTTCAGCAATACCTATGAGATTAATTACCAAATTAAGAAATCATTTAATGGCTTTCCCTCCTTTCAGTACATTCAAAAATATTTGTGTGATGTCAAGACTTTCCAAAATATAACCCCTACCTCCAGTCTCTACTATAACTCTCCCTTAGCTTCTGTACTCTGAACATTCCAAAGAACTTTGTTCTTTTCTGGAATATACCATGCTAGCAAACACTTTAGTGTCTTTATTCATGTGGTTTTTACTGCACATGAATAAAGTTGGGGGAAAAATATTTTTCCCATTCTTTGCAACTACTCGGTGAATCCTTCAAGATCAGATTCAATTTGTTTCTCCTATTCCCTACAAAGACTCTCTACCTTGAGCTACTAGTGAACACTGGATTATAGCTCTAAGATAGCATTTCAATAATAGTATTGTACCTATTGAAATAGCATTTCAATAATAGTATCTTCCAGTGCTCAAGTGATTATCTCACTTAGCCCCCAAGTAGCTGGGACTACAGACACATGCCACCATACCTGGCTAATTTTTTGTGGGTTTTTTTTTGTAGAGAATGGGTTTGTCATGTTGCCCAGGCTGGTCTCGAACTTCTGAGCTCAAGTGAACTGCCTGCCTCAGCATCACAAAGTGCTAGGACTACAGGCCTGAACCACCACGACTGGCTCCTCCTTGCCTTTTCCATTCAATCTTCTTCCCTCTAGAACAGCAACCACTGTTCTGATTATTTATCCCCATATTAATCATATTAATTTTAGTTTTTTAAAGTGCAAATTTCATCACCACCATAAAAAAGAAAAAAAATAGTATTGTACCAAATTTCATTCATTATTTCCCCATTAAAATTATAAATCTCAGGAAGCAATAATTTTTTCTATGTATTACCAACATCTAGCATTATGTATGGCCACTTAGTCACCTCAAAGTAAGTGAACATTTGCTTTGTCCACACACAAAAAATATCTGATATTTAACTATGCTTACAAAATTTAGCCTCATTGTCATTGCACTGATATTATTCAACTAAGCACTTGGCCTTAAAATATGTCCTCCTAAACAAAAAACTGATTAAAATGTAATATGAACTACATGAAGAAGTTATGGCAAGAGAAGGGAACCACTCTAAACAGTGACCAAATCTGCTTAATCATATTATTTATTTCAAAGAGGTAGCCTTTGATGTAAAAATTATTATCTATCACCCAATACTTTGCCAAACATACCACATACTAATCTTCTGTACAAATTCTTCACTCCAGTTAAAATAACCTTCTTACTACCTTCCATGAAAATCTCACTTCTGCCAGACACAGTGGCTCACACCTGTAATCCCAGCACTTTGGGAGGTCAGGCATTCGAGAACAGCCTGAACAACATGGTGAAACCCCATCTCTACTAAAACCACAAAAATTAGCTAGGCATGGTGGCAGGTACCTGTAATCCCAGCTACTTGGGAGGCTCAGGCAGGAGAATCACTTAAACCCAGGAGGCGGAGGTTGCAGTGAGCCGAGATCGTGCCACTGCATTCCAGCCTGAGGGATAAGAGTGAGACTTCATCTCCAAAAAAAAAAAAACCCACTTCTATATCTTCACTTATATAACACTCTAGTTTAGAATGCATATTCCAACTCTACTCTTCAATGCCCATGTAAAGACCCAACTCTTCTATAAGTCTTCCATAAATTATGCCTTCACATAATACAGTAGTCCTCCTTTAAATTCCTATGGCATTTCGCTACATGATCATTCATTTAGCAACTGTCACATTTTGTCTTGAATTAACAGCTATCTATTTGTCTATCTCCCATCTAAATTTTAAGATTTTTTACTTCAGGGATCATATGTTTAACTTGCATTATTTATATTTCTTTTCCTTCCTTGCCAGCAGGAAGTCATATATTATTAACAGTACTTAACACAGACTTTCCTCTATATATAGGTAAATCACTAAGGCAGTGTGTAAAATCTCCCTTACTTTTTATTCACCAGAGATAATAAAATTGATTATAGATTTACCAGGAGCAAAAAAATGAAGTTAGATATGAATACAGTTAAAAACTAAAGTTTATGTACTTATAACAAAAACATAAATACTAACAAATCTAATTTTTATAGGAAGCCTTTTTAAATGTACCTAACATCACATAAAATATTAAACCTTTACTATTTTAACTAAAAAAATGTCATTACAAATATAATTTAAAATAGCAACGTACTGACTGAAGATGCTCTTTGGCCTCTAATACTTTTCTGTTCATGATATCTTGTGTTCTAGGATAAGACTGATCATAGCTTGCTGGTCCTGGATTATCTGAAATAAACTTCTTAAAACGTTTCTCCCGGTTTTGTAGACTATGGCCTCCCTTTATATTACACTGAAATGGAGAGAAAAAAAACTTCTGACATATAAAAGAAGCACTTTACAATTAATTTCTACTTTGTAGGTATTAATCATTATCAGAAAATAGTTTTAAAATGCAAGCTGAGAAAGCTCACTCTTGACTGAAGACACAGTTCCAGTAAAAAGGGATTGTAAGAGAAGATAACAATTATAATTGTCAGTTTTAACTTGAAACTCAAAACTAAAATGTGCTGTACTTGGAGCACTTTGAGAGAGTGCAAGAAAACTCCACTTTAAAACAGAAATCAGAGGTGGAAATTCCCAAAGCTGTAGAGCAAGAATAAAGGCCCTTGGAAAAATTTGTACCCCTGAAATCTAGTAAAAAGAAAAAAAAATGTTGGCATCCATGTTGAAAAAAAAAAAATATATATATATATATATATGTATATATATATATATATATATATATATAGAGAGAGAGAGAGAGAGAGAGAGAGAGAGAGAGAAGAGGGAGAGAGCAAACCTTTCAAAAGGTTATTTAGTGTTCATTCTTTTCACGAATAACATTTTGGTCATTTCAAGAAAAGTTTATAAAGACTTATCAACAACAGCTTGGTTTTATGTTCAAATTAATTTTAAACACTGTTTATTGCAGAGCAAACATTTGGGTGGATTCTTCCAGGGCTCTCCATGCTACATCTCTGGATTCTCAAGAATCTGAAAAGTATCAATTGACTAATATCCAATTAATTTGGGTAAAATTGCATCATAAAGATTTCTGTAAACAATTATAGTGCAATCATTTCAAAAAGATGAGTTATGATAATAGCATTTGATTGATTATCTAAGATTTTAAGTCACTGATTTACAAATAGCCTTTTTCGGATGTCCAGTTATTTATAGTCACTATTCACAGAGCCTCTCTCTCCTGGGGACCTTATTAAATTTCATTCAGCTTTTAAAAAATATACAAAGGAGGTCTCCTTTTAAAAACTGAGTCAACTTTTATTTTTAAATAGGCAATTTACTGCTTGAGTACTATTTTAAAAAGATCAGAATTTCTATGTTTAAAGAGTAGACATATAAAAATAACTTTAATAATTTATTTTACAAAAAAATTTAAAAGTTGAACAAAAAGCAAAATCCTGTGGAAAAATCTTTTCAAATTTTGATAATTTAAAATCCATTACCATAGGCTCCACGAGTATACAACTAAAACCACAATCTGAATCTATATCAATCCTTCAACAAAGACTTTATCTGGGCCTCCAACAGGGGAGTTAAAGGTCTGCTGGAATCAGCTAGGAGCCAGTACATAAAAATGCAAAATTTATGTGAAAATGGAAAAAGATGATACTCATGGCTATGAAGATATCGAGTTATATTCACTATTTCTAAACATGAATGAACCATTGAAGACATTCCAGTCACAGACTCTTGAGACTGTGCAGAAAAGGAGACATATGAGACAAGGGCAATGGCGATAGCTTTAAAGTATGGCACAAAAACAAATTCTTTCACTCTACTGTCATTCCTCTTCTACATATTTTGACTATCTGTATAACTTCCATGGGCCATAAATCATTAAAGAGTTCTATTCTCTCATTCTCAAGGACCATACAGCATGTAACAATATTTTGTGTCTTATAGAATACATAGAATATTGAAAAACATCTAACCAAATCATGCAACCAACATCAAATATATTTATTTTATATTATTCAAATTATAAAAATATAAATTGAAAGTAAAAGACAATATGAGAAGAAAATAAAATACAACATATGACATTTGGTCTATTCAGGGAAGAAAATATTATTTTATTAAGTCAATTATAGTAACTTTATAAAGTTACCTGGGCTTCTGAAACATTATAGTGTCCTGGACCTGGAACAGCTTTCTCAATGCTAGAGGCAATGGTAAAAGCACTTTCTCTGGCAGTCAAAGAAAGAAACGGTGCATAACTACCTATAAAAATAAAATCATATGACCAGCAAATAAGACAAGAGTCAAAGGATTTCAGAGAAAAAAAACACTCAAAATATAAATAATCATGAGTATCCTCAATTGTTAAGACTTTACTTTCAGAACTAATGGCTAGTCAGAGAAGTTATTAAATTATAAAATATCTTATATAAGATCAGAAATTTATTAATATATTAAATACAAGAACTTAAAGAACTGGACTTACTGAACAACAACAAAATACCTAAAGAAAATAACAGTCCAGGCACTGTGGCTCACGCCTGTAATCCCAGCATTTTGGGAGGCCAAGGCAGGTGGATCACCTGAGGTCAGGAGTTCAAGACCAGCCTGACCAACATGGAGAAAACCTGTCTTTACTAAAATTACAAAATTAGCAGGGTATGGTGGTACATGCCTGTAATCCCAGCTACGTGGGAGTCTGAGGCAGGAGAATCACTTGAACCTGGAAGGTGGAGGTTGCTGTGAGCTGAGATCGCGCCATTGCACTCTAGCCTGGGCAACAAGAGTGAAACTCCATCTCAGAAAAAAGAAAAGGAAAAACAAACTAAAACCCTCTTGTCTTCTAATCATTTTGGGTGGGGATGAAAATGTCAGTTATATTTAGCTGATAAAAATGTTTTCATCCTCAGACCATTGTTTTATATTTTGAAATAGCATATATTACTTGTAGAATACAGCATATATAAACTTGTAAAGACAGCCTAGATTAAAAAGATCAGAATTTCTATGTTCAAAGAGTAGACATATAAAAATAACTTTAATAATTTACAAAAAAATTAAAATGCTGAACAAAAAGCAAAATCCTGTGAAAAAAGAACTTTTCAAATTTTGATTAATTTAAAATCCATTACCATAGGCTCCATGATCATACAAATCAAACAGTTATCTGAATCTATATCAATCACTTCAACAAAGACTTTATCTGGGCCTCCAACAGGGGAGGAAAGAATTTAAAGTGGGTTTACAGCAGATAATTGGTCATGTCTCCTTGCCTAGGCACATAGTTGGTATCAGTATTTCTTGACTGACTGACCCTAAACAAAGATTTACAAATCTAAGACACAAGTTTCTTTGAGATTATACAAACTTGAATACTCTACTGAAAAAAACTGATTATAAAAAATTCAAGATCTATAGGGAAAAACTACTAGTGTTTAAGCAATGTGGATATTACAGAAGAGATAAGAGAGAATAGAGCAGCAGCTATATTCAAATAGAAAATAAAAGAATGCAAGTGAAGACTCAAAACTTTTACACTAAATCTTGTATACTAAAGGAAAACATGTGCTATTACTGCAGGAATGTATTGTGATAATTAATATAATACAAATCTTACTAATCTGGACTAATTAATAAAAAGATACTCCTTAAAATAAAATAATATGTTTCTTTTGAGGCCCACATGTTAAAATGTAACCAATGTCAAGAATTATTTATTTGTGTTAAGTATGGCAACATAAAAGACATGAACAAAATATAGATCTTACCTCTAAAAAGGTAATATCTTGAAGCATTAAGAAAAGTATTGAAATAATTTTAAGAAAACTATTGAAATAATTTTAAACAAGGAAAAGCATCTCTAATGCCATAATGGAAGATAAATGCTCAAAAATTCAAAAAGAAGAGAAGTTCTCATTCACATTGAGGTGATCAGGAAAAACTTCGTGGATGATGTTAAAGCTCTAGGTGTTAATTTAGTGACTGATGGTTTAGCTGGCTATCCCAAAGCAGAGAAGAAGGGAAGAGGAAAGGGAAGGGTAAAAGGAAGAGAAAGGTTAGAAAGAAGGCAGACTGACCTTCAAATAAGTTACAAAGACCACAGACCAGAAATCGTTAAAAATAAGCCAAGGTTCATTTTGAAAAGGCAACAGTTGTCAGGTAGACTGAGAAACCCAGGACACCAGTGAAACATTCTACTTACTCAGGGTAAATAGCCAGAGAACAAGAACCAGATTTCATTCCAAACACACATATAAAAACACACACATATGCACTCAAAATACATATAAAATAAGTCATACAAATTACCAGAGAGTATATTTTCAAGACATAAAAGAGGAGAAAAGTCAATGAAAAGAAACAGATCAAGAAATGAAAAGGTGGAATCTGCAGACAAGAACACTATCTATTGTAAATATCCTTTATATATTCAACAAGGTAGAGAAAGGTGAACATGATGAGAAGATATAAAAAAATTCAAATCAAATTTACAACATGAAAAATACACTGGATGGAATTAATAGCAAATTTTTGTGGATTAATAAAATGCATTTTTTCTCAATTCTTAATCCCTTTAAAAAATACAGATGCTCATTGACTTGTGATAGAATTGCTTACCAATAAAAATCGTCATAATTAGAAAATATTGTAAATTATCTGGGCGCAGTGGCTCATGTCTATAATCCCAGCACTTTGGGAGTTCGGGGTGGGTGGGGGGTCAGAAGTCCAAGACCAGCCTGACCAACATGGTGAAACCCTGTCTCTATCAAAAATACAAAAATTAGCCAGGTGTGGGTGGTGGTGCATGCCTGTAATCCCAGCTACTTGAGAATCTGAGGCAGGAGAATTGCTTGAACCTGGGAGGCAGAGGTTGCAGTGAGCCACGATCATGCCATTACACTCCAGCCTGGTCAACAAGAGCAAAAGTCTGTCTCAAAAAAAATAAAAAATATAAACAAATAAAATAAAATATTATAAATTGAAACTGTATGCAATATACCTAACCCATAATACCATAGATTAGTCCACCTTAACATGCTCAGAACACATACATTAGCCTAAAGTTAGACAAAATTACCTAACATAAAAACTATGTTATAATAAAATGTTGAATATCTCATGTAATTTATTGAATACTGCACTGAAAATGAAAAATAGAATGGTTATATGGTCCTGGGAATTTGGTGTCTACTGAATGCATATTGCTTTCATACCATTGTGCAAAATATTTTTTTAAAAGTAGGTTGAATCATCCTAAGTCAAGGACTGTCTGCTTAGTCCTGTCCTTTCAGGTTGGAGGTCCTGGGTAGAAGAGATTCTCCCTGATAAAATGGCCTATAGCCAAGGAAACAGAATTTCAATTAAGGTAAAAAGAATTTCCTGAGGAAAATGTAGAGAGATAATGCCCTGAAAAACTGGCCTGGCCAAGCAGGCTACCTGGAGGGGACAATGGGAGAGCAGTAGTTAGGGGAGAAGGTTGGGAATAGAGTATTTGTATCTAAGGCTCTAAGGTCTTTTCCTCTTGTGAAATTCAAAGTAACAAGTAAACTGTATAAATCCCCTATATCTGTTCTTCTTAAATCATACTTGACAAAATGCACCTGACCCTTAGCTGAAATAATTGTATGCCTCTGTATAGTCCAATTACTAGTCCTAAATGTAGGTGAGGTCGTATGTACCTAGGAAAGAGATGGCAACTACTTTTCAATTACCTTCCAGAGAATTCAGCAGAGAAATCACTAAAGAGACACCTGTTACTTCTATTGATTATCAGCATATTATCTCTTAGAATTGCTAAAATAAGATTTATAGGATGCAGCTGCTCAAATTTCCCAAGCATGGAATTTCCTACTTTAGCTCATAGATCAACAAGACACCATCCGATAAAACAGTAAAAGAAGGGTTTACCGCGCGCTACTTACTGCTCTCTGAGCAAAGTTACAAGCTACAAGTTTTAAATTATGCTATATGTGGCTCAGTATATTTTAATTTTATTTCAAGATTACTGTTTGTTTTTTAACTTATGTGTTATGATATTCAGCCAAAAACTAAGAATAATGGAGTAAAGATCATGGTTATTACCCTCAAGCAGTTCACATTTTAGTGGGGCTGCCAGACAAGTTAACTTTAACTACAATATAGAATCACTATAAAAGTCATTAAGGAGTCAGAGAAGAAAAATCTGAGAAAGCGTAGAGTCAGTGAATAACTTAACTTTAGCTGAATCTCAAAAAATAAATACAAATTAGCCAAGTTAAAAAAGAAAACAGTGTACTGGCAAATGTATCAGCAGATACAGAGGCACAGAGGTGAGTGAGCACGAACTTAGGAAAACCGTAAAGTTGAAATTGCTGAAATGTAGGTCAAGTGGAGGTGGAGGTGTGTGTGGGTGATGAGGCAAGGCCCATAACATGAAGAACATGACGAACCATGTTAAGGAGTTTAGATTTTAACCTTGATGTTACGAGGGGTTTTTTTTCCCACAAGTAATAAATCGTAGAAGGACGACTCTAGCCACAAGATAGAAGATGGATTGAAAACGGAAATAAGTAGAAACAGGTAATATTTTATATGTTTAATTCAAAATAGAAATAATAAGAGCTTGAACTAAGTTAAGGACCGCTAAATGGAAAAGAGGAACCAACCAAAGAGGCACTGAGAAGATAGAATCATTAGCGGTTAATGATCAACAGGAGTAGTCAGGGAGAAAAGAAAGAATCTAGAAAAAAAAAATAGAAAAAGAAAAAAAGGAATCTAGAATAATTCCAAAATTTAAAGTCTATCATAGACTAATAAGGAATTTTTAAAAAGGGACAAGAACTACTAAAAAAAATTATGAGCTCAGACCCTAAAAACTTCAGATACCAGAGACTGCCTAGGTAGAGATGTTCAAAAAAGTAATGGGTTATGACTCAAGGACAACAAAAACAAACAATTAAAAAGAAAAGAAAAATAAACAAACAAACAGAAGTGACTGGCAGGGTTGAAAGCCAAAAGATTAGGAGAAAGCTCATCTTAGAAATATAAATCACCCATATCTCTAAAGATTTTCTTCCAGGAGTCATCAGAATCAGAATAGAGATAGTGGTCTATGGACACTAATGAGAAAGTACATATGAGAAAAGCAACAAGCAAAGGATGGAAAGTACAGTATATAAACATTTAAAGATGTTTAGAATGAGGACTCAGCTCTGATTTGTTTTACCTTGCCCAAATTCTTATCTAAGAGATCTAGGGAGTCATGTCCTACAAACCAATAAATTCTCATCAGAAGAGTTTTATTTAACCCTATATATCATGGTTTACTTTCCAACTGGACTCTGGCATAACATTATGAGACAAGGAAGAAAATCAAAATGTTTTACCCAAAAATATATTTCCTTGCCATACCTTGAAATTGCCCTGCAAAGTCTCTTGTGGGAAAAATCCACATTCTATAGAGAATACCCTTTCCCCTTTGTTTTCGTTTCTTTCCAGATTTAGGATATAATCAAGTAAGAGCCACATACCCTTTTAGGTTTGATAAGAAGCATTTTACAACCTGCTCTCTCTCTGAGAGTTTCCTCTGCACAATAAAACTTGGTCTCCACAATCCTTTATCCTAACCTAAACATTTCCTTTGATGCCTGGTCGTCACATAAACTCAAATCAATTGTCAACCAGAAAATGTTTAAATTTACCGATAGCCTGGAAGCCCCCACTTTGAGCTGTCCCGCCTTTCTGAAAGAAACCAATGTATTTCTTAAGTGTATTTGATTAATGTCTCATGACTCCCTGAAATACATAAAACCAAGCTGTACCCCAACCACCTTGGGCACATGTTCTCAGGACCTCCTGAGGGCTGTGTCACAGGCCATGGTCACTCATATTTGGCTCAGAATAAATCTCTTAAAATATTATACAGAGTTTGACTCTTTTCGTCAACCAGAAGCATAAAAACATTGAAAGAAGACCATGAAGGACTGCTTGGAGAGGGGGAGAAAATGATGCTCTGATCAAGCATTTAACAAATGTTTATTAGGTCCCAACCACATACCAGACACTCCTCCAAGACAGTAGTTGGAAAAAGAACCAGGAGAAAATGTGTTACATTTTGTAAAGAAGTGTTTCCAAGAAGAAAATGGTCGGTTGTGTCAAAATTAAGAATTGCAAAGTGTCATAGGTGGTCATTGTTAGCTACCTATGACTATTATTGGGTGAATTAGTGCTTACAGTAGCTCAACTTTATTAAAATAAAGACATAGAATAAGCTGCAAGAAAAGTGATATCAGATGCTGTGAAGCAGTATATATAATTCAAAAGTATAATTCAAATTTGTCAGAAGACAAATTTGTACTCCACCCCAAGAAACCTAAACCAACCCTTATCTGATGAGTTACATAACAGAATAACAGGATCCTGGCATTTGCTTCAAAATACATAGTGTAGGTATGGGGAAAATTCAGGTTAAGAAAAAACATCATTTGGATGGTATTAAAAGCTCCAGAAATCAGAATAGAAAAGTAGAAAGCAAATTTGACGTATTTAAAGTTTTGACTAAGTCACTAACTGCAAACCAAACGAGGAGAGCAAATTATTATTCTTATTTTTGAAATGGAGTCTTGCTCTGTTGCCCAGGCTGGAGTGCAGTGGCAGGATCTCCACTCACTGCAACTCCACCTCCCAGGTTCAAGCAATTCTCCTGCCTCAGCCTCCTGAGTAGCTGGGATTACAGGCACACACCACAATAACGGGCTAATTTTTTTCTATTTTTAGTAAAGACGGGGTTTCACCATGTTGGATGACCAGGCTGACCTTGAAATCACGACCTCAAATGATCTGCCGCCTCGGCCTCCCAAAGGGACTCGCCTGCCTCAACCAGCTGTAAATAAATAATTATTTACATCACCGTGCCCGCCTGTAAATCATTATTTAAATTATCCTTCCCACTCCACTGGTCAAAAATATAGCTTTCCTTTACAGAATGTGGAGAAAAGGGGCTCCCCTGAAGTGTGTTAAAAGAGAAGATGAGGATGGTCAGAAACATCTATCTGGAAAAAACAAACAAAAAAAAAACAGAACTATCTTCAAATAATACTGCAAAATATAAATAAAAGTTACATCTTAGTAAATAAATGTCTCCAGTTAATGGGAGGAAAGGTGTGAGGCAGACAGGATTATAAAGCAGAGACAGCAGGAGGTAAGTCAACAGAGCCAGAAAATCAAAATCCTAGACCTAAACTGTACAATCAAAAGTAGGATGTGGACAACTATTGTATAATCAAAAGTCCTAGCCATATGCTCACCAGCCTCGTGAAATGAGACAAGTGATACCATTAGTCTCACCTGTAAAATAAAACGATAGTGTTTTCCCTGACTACTTCATGTTTTGTTACACTTGCAAAATGGTGCTATTCCTCTCTATATTCTCGTTTCTTTTTGTTCCAAATACTGACTGACTGCTGTATGAATGGCCACAAACGCCTATTCCGCTCTATGTTTAACTCACAAGCACACAGAAGCGGAGCGGGCTGAAGATGGGATGCCTGTCACAGGAGGTGGGCCTGTCCCTAAAACTTACCTGTCGCCTGCTGCTTCAGGAAAGGTACCTGGTAGGATCCAGGACCCACATGGGCCTCAGTGCTGCCACCTTCAGCCAATTTGAGCAGACGGGGAGCCCGGTCATACATGGTCCTTGGGGTAGTGGGAGCGCTGGGGAAGGGAGGTGCGGAAAACGATAAAAACAAGGCGGCTAGAGGGGGTGTGGAGAAAAAGGAAGCGAACAACACACTGAGGAGGCCGGGACACAGCTTCCGTAAATAGAGAAAATAGCGTTGGGGTTGTCTCCCAGCCCGCTTATTGGTAGCAGATTTCCTCAAATGGATTTCTATCCCTGTGGTAAAGTAGAGGGGTAAGCGACTAGAGATTAGACATCTCACAAAATCATCAGTTTGCCAGGTGCACTACACGAAAATTGAGGATTACTGATGAAGACTCCCGCCCGGTGCTTCCGGCCCTCACTCCGCCCACTTCTCTCTGCCCGGAAGCCTGGGGTGGAGGCGGACCCCGTCTCTGGGGAGCGCCGTCGAGGTGCCTTCCCGAGCCGAGTCCACGGAGCATGCGCACCGAGCCGCGAGCCTTTCCCAGCTGGCTCCACCCGGAGACGGGCGCGCCTTAAACGAGGCGGGACCAAACCTCATAGTCCTCTTGACCCTGGTAACTACTTAGGTCCCGAACCTTTTTAACGACAGAAGAACCCTAGAAAACGTGTTAGGAAGGTGAGGATTAACTTGACCTTGATTTGCTTCCCGACTCAACAAAACCTAGGAAAGAAAAAAGCAGTAGCTTGAAGCAGAGAGCTCCGCGGCTCCCGCAGCTCCACTCGCACTCGCAGAGGAAAAGCACCTCTGGTCTTATCCCGTAGGTAGTCCAAACTGCTAAGACAAACCCACGGGTCAGGGCGGTGACAACAAATGGGGAACCCAGAAAAAAAAAATCACAAGATAAGGGTAAAAAGTGAAAAAAAAATAAATGGGGAACCCAGGGAAGGAGGCGAAAAGCTCACAACTGAAGTCGTGCACATGACTGAAAGCAGCCGCTTTTGTGGGATGCCAGACAACCACAATATTGATTCATCTCTCTGTTTATAAAGCAAAGCGAAGGCACTGAAAAATCCCATTCCACCCCCAGTAAACCAGTGGGTCTCAACCTTGGGCAAAAGAAACCTAGCTTGTACTTGGGCCTGAAGGAATCTACGTCAGAATCCACCTCTGCTTCTCTCCGGGTGTTTTTTCCAGCAAGAATTCTATCCAGATTCTAAATATCCTCAAAGGCTTAGACAAATCCTACCTTGACCATATCTTGCCTCCAAATGATCTACAGTACTTTAATTTTTCCCTACTACAAGATTTTATAGTTTTCATACTCTGTAGTACATACACGATTTGCCAGTCAATTCTGTGCAACATTTACTGTGGCTTAATTGTGCCATACATGTCGGGACCCTCTCCTTGCAAGGCTATTATATGCTTCTCAAGGATGTATCTGTAATACCTTTTTTTCTGTTGAATAGCTAGCTAAATTATTTATTCACTTAAAAAACTCGAATTGGTTTATACTCTAGATTCCATACCCTGCTAAGTTGTGAGGATACAAAGGCATAAGAAAGTCCCTGTTCTCAGGTGTTCTCTCTCTAATGGGAAAGAGACATATAATCCAAACTGAGTTGACCAAGATTTTTTTTTAATGGTAGGAAAATGAATATTGCAGTATTTTGGAAACCTCTCACTACCTTCAATTCTCCCTGGATTCTGGGAGAACCCCTCACAATTTTCTCAATGTTATTTTAACCTTATTTTCGAAGCTGACACCAATACCCATTCAGAAGAGTTAGATTTTTACCATGACATATTAGAAAGAATCACAGTGATGACAGAGAAAAATTCATATGCTCTGCATGATAATCTAGTGGTGCTTGTAAATTTGTCCCCTATTGCACATTCCTTAAGGACATCATCTGCCCTTGATGATCCAAACAAGGATATCAGCCCAAACTGCAAACTCAGGTCTAGGCAATGGTTGTTGTAGGCACTGATGCAAACTTTCATGCCCTGTCTGGCCATTCTGTCTGCAGCAGCCTACATTACTCTTTGCTTGGACATACATATTTGTTGGAGACTGGAAATGGAAGTCGTAAAGCCGGCTTTATATGCTTTCTGTCTGATTTTATTTTCAGCCGTTGAACCTAACTTAATTTAGACAAAGGGAGTTCTTTGTAGCATCCCTCCTAGCTCATTTGCAGACCTCTAAGGGAGAGTTTCTGACTGAGTACAAGCTAGGAATACACTTTTTTTTACCTTGCCTGCCTCCTGGATGAATACTTTTTCATCAAGGACTTAAAAGAGAAGGGTCGTTGATCAATGGCAGGAGTCCATTGATCTGGGTCTTCTTGTCAGATCCTATCTAAATATCACACCATTAAAGAGCAACACTATATATTCTTCATAATTTGGTAATACTTGGGCTCTCAAAATTCTGCATTCTTAACAAAAAAAATCTTTCTTTTAAAAGTTTCTACTATGAGTCCAGGCACAGTGGTTAACACCTGTAATCCTTAATCCTAGCACTTTGGGAGGCCAAGGCAGGAGGATTGCTTGAGGCCAGAAGTTCAAGACCAGCCTGGGCAACATAGAAAATTTCAATTGCACACATACATGAAAAAAGAAATTAAAAATTAGCCAAGCAGGAGTTTGAGATTACAGTGAGCTATGATGGTGCCACCATACTCCAGCCTGGAAGACAAAGCAAGACCTGTCTTAAAAGAAAATTATTTTAGTATGAAAACTTCTATTTCTTTAGTTAATGTGGCCACTTTCTCTATATTTCCCAGCTATTATTTCCTCCTTATGGTTCAGTAATGAGAATGGTGCACAGTGTTTCAAAATTGGAAGGTATTTTTTAATGAGAAAAATTAATTCTTTTCATTATCTCTCATTGTAAATATTCAATAGTCTGGAATTAGAATACTGCTAAAAAATTAACATGTTAACACAGAATTTTAATTACATATAAATATGAAATAATTTGGTTCAGAATTTCTCAATTCCTGCAAAACAGTGTTAATGCTAACTAAGCACACTATATGACCACTTTACTGTATTAGGAATTCCATAATGGAAACTAAGTTTGAGCTAAGATTTATTTGAGTTCAGAATTTGGGTTCTTTCCATTTCTCCCTGCTGGCTTATACCACAATAAACTTCAAAATGAAGCTTGAACAAGAACAAGGTTCAAGAAATCAAACTAATTCATTATTGAATATGTTGTCTGCAATGAAGAACAGAAAGAGGAAATTAGGTTAAAAACTAAAGAAATCCAAATAAAGTATGGAATTTAGTTAATAACAATGTATTAATATTGCTTCATTATTTCTTCCTATTTGCTAATTCCATCTGCACATACACACACACAAAAATTGTTTTTAATACAGGCAGGGTCTTATTTTGTCTTCCAGGCTGAAATACCATGGCACCATCATAGTTCATTGTAATCTCACACTCCTGCCGGCAATAGGAGCAAATAGCAGAAATTCTCTATGGGTTATAGATTGGGTATCTCTCTGTACTTTATAATTTTTCTGCAGATCTAAAACTTTTCTGAAATAAAATTGTACTTTATAAACAGGCATGAATACCAGAAGAAAATTAATTCCAATGGTATTTGAAATATTCCATATCATAAATAAAGAATTCCTTCCATTTTATTCATGAATGTATATAACTTTAATACTAAAACATGTTCAAAAATCTACCAAAAAAGAATAGTACAATCAATCTCTACCATAAATATGTATCTAACAAATAAAATGAAACAGTAGCAAACAGAATCTAGCAATGCTTTTATAGGATAATACATTGACACCAAATAAGTAAATTCTGTAATTGCTTGGATAATTCGGTTTTAGAAAACCACTACATAACCTTCTACATTAATTATTAGAGAAAATAATATATGTTGATATCAATAGATGAAAAAAAGACAGTTGAGTGTTCCTCCTACCTAGGCCTCCCAAAGTATAAAAAAAAGAAAAGGCATTTGATAAAATTAAGGGCTATTTTTTTTTTAAGAATATTTATTAGTTTATTAAAAATAACCATGATAAACTCATGTGAATATAAGTACACTATTATGAAAATAAGTATTTTCTTTTTTTTTTTGTTTTATTTTTTATTGGATTATAGGTTTTGGGGTACATGAGCAGAGCATGCAAGACAGTTGGGCAGGTACACACATGGCAGTGTGCTTTGCTTTTCTTCTCCCCTTCACCCACATTTGGCATTTCTCCCCAGGCTATCCCTCCCCACCTCCCCCTCCCACTGGCCCTCCCCTTTTCCCCCCAATAGACCCCACTGTTTAGTACTCCCCTTTCTGTGTCCATGTGTTCTCATTTTTCATCACCCACCTATGAGTTAGAATATGCGGTGTTTCATTTTCTGTTCTTGTGTCAGTTTGCTGAGGATGATGTTTTCCAGATTCATCCATGTCCCTACAAACGACACAAACTCATCATTTCTGAGTGCTGCATAATATTCCATGGTGTATATGTGCCACATTTTTCCAATCCAGTCTATTATCAATGGGCATTTGGGTTGATTCCAGGTCTTTGCTATTGTAAACAGTGCTGCAACGAACATTCGTGTACATGTGTCCTTATAGTAGAACGATTTATAGTCTTTTGGATATATACCCAGTAATGGGATTGCTGGGTCAAATGGAATTTCTATTTCTAAGGCCTTGAGGAATCGCCACACTGTCTTCCACAATGGTTGAACTAATTTACACTCCCACCAACAGTGTAAAAGTGTTCCTTTTTCTCCACATCCTCTCCAGCATCTGTTGTCTCCAGATTTTTTAATGATCGCCATTCTAACTGGCGTGAGATGGTATCTCAATGTGGTTTTGATTTGCATCTCTCTGATGACCAGTGACGATGAGCATTTTTTCATATGATTGTTGGCCTCATATATGTCTTCTTTAGTAAAGTATCTGTTCATATCTTTTGCCCACTTTTGAATGGGCTTGTTTGTTTTTTTCCTGTAAATCTGTTTGAGTTCTTTGTAAATTCTGGATATCAGCCCTTCGTCAGATGGGTAGACTGCAAAAATTTTTTCCCATTCTGTTGGTTGCCGATCCACTCTAGTGACTGTTTCTTTTGCCATCCAGAAGCTGTGGAGTTTCATTAGGTCCCATTTGTCTATTTTGGCTTTTGTTGCCAATGCTTTTGGTGTTTTGTTCATGAAGTCCTTGCCTACTCCTATGTCCTGGATGGTTTTGCCTAGATTTCCTTCTAGGGTTTTTATGGTGCCAGGTCTTATGTTTAAGTCTTTAATCCATCTGGAGTTAATTTTAGTGTAAGGTGTCAGGAAGGGGTCCAGTTTCTGCTTTCTGCACATGGCTAGCCAGTTTTCCCAACACCATTTATTAAACATGGAATCCTTTCCCCATTGCTTGTTTTTGTCAGGTTTATCAAAGATTGTATAGTTGTATGTATGTTGTGTTGCCTCTGGTGCCTCTGTTTTGTTCCATTGGTCTATATCTCTGTTTTGGTACCAGTACCATGCTGTTTTGATTACTGTAGCCTTGTAGTATAGTTTGAAATCCGGTAGTGTGATGCCCCCCGCTGTGTTCTTTTTGCTTAGAATTGACTTGGCTATGCGGGCTCTCTTTTGGTTCCATATGAAGTTCATGGTGGTTTTTTCCAGTTCTGTGAAGAAAGTCAATGGTAGCTTGATGGGGATAGCGTTGATTCTGTAAATTATTTTGGGCAGTATAGCCATTTTCACAATGTTACTTCTTCCTAACCAGGAACATGGAATGTTTCTCCATCTGTTTGTGTCCTCTCTGATTTCGTTGAGCAGTGGTTTGTAGTTCTCCTTGAAGAGGTCCCTTACGTTCCTTGTGAGTTGTATTCCAAGGTATT